GTTCCACCAGCCTCTATCTGACCAGCAAGGCTGCTCTTGTTCATGATGCTGAGTTTTGTTCCGCATTTGTCTCCCACTCTCCCAGGGACCTTCTAATGTGATCCCTTTCAGAGAATTTGGCAGTGGTAGTCAGCAGCTATCTAATTCTTCTGGCCTCAGGGTTGTGGAGCCTGATGTTCCTGGGCCCATGTCTTCATTCTGTGATGTCACTATAACAAAAACACCACAAGGGGTGTGACTTTAATAAACAGAAATCTATTTTCTCACAGTTTAGGAGGTTGGCAGTCCTAATGCAGAGCTCTGGCTCTGGGGGAGGTCCTGGTCCCCTTTCAGCCTCTGTGGGCCCAGCATTCTTTGGAGATCTCCATGTGTCTTGACATCAGTCATTCCCTGGCTCTAGGAGCTTCCCAATGCAGGGACCCCAGGGCCAAAGGATGTACGTACGGCCCGCTTGGCTTTTCTGTTTTGGTGGTGACAGGTCCCTCTTTCTCTGCTCCAAGTCTCCCTCCTTTTATCTCTTGTAAGATCAAAGGTGTTGCATGCCACACCCTTGGCAATCTCTGTATGTGGTGAAATTAGGGTAGGCCTGGGTGTGGCACTGTGAGTTAATACACTAGACTGTAAAGTCAGTTTGAACTACAAGGTTGGTGGTTCAAGCTCACCAGTTGCTCCTTGGAAATTCTCTACGGGGTCACAATGGGTTGGAACTGACTCGACAGCATTTAACAACAACAACAACAAATTTGTTGTTTGTCAAATGTCAGTGAGTCGCTTCCAACTCATAACACCCCTGTTTAGGGTTTCCGAGGAGCAACTGGTGGGTTTGAACTTCCAGCCTTGTGATTAAGCAATCCAGTGCTGATCCTACAGCGCCACTCCAGGACCCCCACCCTACTGCTCTTTCTGGTTAATTGCATCGTGGGGGATCATCGCATTCCTGCCCAACCACTGAGAAGCATGGCTCAGCCAAGCTAACACATAGTTTGGGGGTACAGGATGACACGGTCCATTAATACACTGGACTAATGGTTTCTAAGCATCTTTGACTTTCTTCACTCTTTCTCTTCTGGGCAGGGAGGGACCGATGACAACTGCACCTCCAGTGACCACTCATGAGGTTCTGAGACTTAGGTCGCTGCTCACCAAAGACGTAGAAAGTTGTCTCTGTGGACTGTGTTTTGACGTCGGCCATACTTTTAAGGCTCTCATGGTCTACTCTCTGTTGGTGTCTCTGCTTCATATTTTCAGACAGGATGGACTTCATCTTAGTTTTCCTTGTCTATACTGACAAACACTCAAGTAATCCTATCTGTACTCATTTTAGCGAGAGTGAGCTTTTTCTTTATTCAGTTTTGCAAAATCAGGTGACCAGCCCTGTAACATGGGCAGATGCATCACATGGCCATTTGACAAAGAGTTTTATTAACCTAACTCAGAAAAGGCCCTTCCTCAATTTCCCCTTTACTGGGTTCTTTGGAGTTTATAATCTTTCCTGAAAAGTCGAAAGTTGCCTACTAGCCCCTACAGGGAACATTCTCATCTAAAGTTAGTTTCATCCCTCCCTCATGAATTTCCCCTACTTCTTTGATGGGTGTATTCTGATTTTAAGAGTCTAGCAGGTCAAATTAGTCCCTTCCTCTTCTCAGAGTTCCCTTGCTACACCCAAGATTTCCTTGATTCTGAAGATGGACCACCAACAGCTATTTCTCACATTCCTCATGGTGATATAGGTCAACTTCAAGTTCTGTTGTTGGTGTTGTTTTTAGGTGTCATCGAGTCAGGGCCGACTTATAGTGACCCTATGCAGAACAGAACAAAACACTGCACAGTCCTGTGCCAACCTCACAATCCTTGCTGTCCCTCGCTGCTGCCCCTATGCCAATCCATCTCGTTGGGGGATCGTCCTCATTTTCACTGACCCTCCACTTTACCAAGCATGATGTCCTTCTCCACAGACTGGTCTTTGCTGATAATATGTCTGAAATATGAGAGCCCAACTATTAATCCTACCCCACCCCCCTTTTTAAAAATTGTTTTCTACTGTATTTCAAGAAGATATTGGGAGGTGAGTGGTCTAGGTAGCCACCATTGTCTCCAGCTCCCTGGTTTCATCCCTGTTGAAGTTTATATGTGGTCTCAGTTCTGAGCTGCACATTTCCACATTCGCACATCTTTGATATGGGAGCACTTCCTACACCGACTGCTCCTTATCAGAATTTAGAGGGGCTTCCTTCTGCCTGTCACCTGGGGTACTTCCTGTCACCTGGGGTCCCCTTGAAAACAGTTTGAATTGAAAAACCTGTGCTTGAGACTTTGGGGGTCACACTGGCAGTTTGAATTCAGACAACAAAACATGTTTTTCTCAGTGGATTCTCAGTGGAAGCCTCTCTACCCACTCGGCACTGGTAATGCAGTCCTGTGGGGGCCCAGCTCTGTAATTGTACCTATTAAACTCAAAACAATTGGTACTTTCTTAGAAGTGCAGGAGGGAGCGCTTGATGGTCTGTGCGTTTGAACAGATTTGTGCAACATGTATGATTCCAGTGTGTTATTTTGTTATGTAACATTCTTTCTCAATGTTGTTATGAAGACCCACTCATGGTACACACAGTTAGAGCCCCTTCATTTCTGTTGCTGAATAGTATCTTAGTTTTTAAGTGGGGGCTTAGACAAACATATGTCTTTTCTTACCATTTCGGAGGCTTACCCAATCAATGTCCAGTGTCCGTCAACTCTTCAACCATCTAAAGTAGAACTGCTCCAAGACTGTGAGTCCTCAGGGAGCAGACAGTCTCATGTTTCTACTGAGGAGTGGCTAGTAGTTCAAACTGCTGACCTTACAGTTAACAGTCCAATGCTTAAGTCACTGCATCACCTTTAGGATCCCTTTGCTGTTGGTGTTAGGTGTCATTGAGTCGGTCCAACCTCACAGCGATCTTCTGCACAACAGAACAAAGCACTGCCCGGTCCTGTGTGACCCTCACAATCATCATTACGCTGGAGCCCATTGCTCCTGCCACTGTGCCAATCCATCTCATTGGGTTGGGGGTCTTCCTCTTTTTCAATGACTCTCCACTGTACCGAACATGATGTCCTTCTCCAGGAAATGGTCTCTCCTGATAATACTTCCAAAGTATGAGAGATGAAGTCTGACCATCCTGACTTCTAAGGAGCCCTCTGGCTGCTCTTCTTCCAAAACAGATTGGTTTGTGCTTCTTTCTGGCTGTCCCTGGTACTTTTAATATTCCTATTCAACACCATAACTCATAAGCATGAATTCTATGGTCTTCCTTAGTCATTGTCCAGCTTTCACATGCATATGAGGTTATTGACGATACCATGGCTTGGGTTAGGCACACCTTAGTCCTCTAGCTGACATCTTTGCTCTTCAACACTTTAAAAAGGTTTTGTGCAGCAGATTTACCTAATGCAATACGTCGTCTGATTTCTTGACTGCTGCTTCCGTGAGTGTTGATGGTTGATCCAAGCAAAGTGAAGTCTTTGACAATTTCAATCTTTTCTTCATTTATTATGATGTTGTTGATTGGTCCAGTGGTGAGGATTAGTCAAAAGCCTTCATGTAGTCAACAAAGCACAAGTCAAGAGCCCCTTAGGAGGCTAGATGTCTGGATTCAGAGTGCCGGCTCTGGGAAAGGTTCTGTTCTCTCAGCTTCTGTTTCCAGGTTTTCCCCCATCTCTGACAGTTTAATCTCTTTTCTGTCTAAAAGAGTTTGACTCAAGATGCTAACCTTGTCTCCTTAATACAACCAAGACAACCCACTCCTAAATGGGTGGCAATCACTAGCACAGAGGCCAGGATCGATGCCTGTTTTTGGAGGACACCATTCAGTTCATAACAGTTTTCCTTGTGATGACCAACAGCTGCCTTTTGACTGTGGATGGACAATGCAGGCTGCATGCTCTTTGGAATTCTGATGAGCTGACCTGTGTGCCCACACACGCATGCACACACACGCATGCACACACGCATGCATGTACACACACACGTGCACACATACACACACACACACTCAGTCTCAGTATCTCACAGGGAAGATTCTGAGCCATACACACTGGGGGTCACAATGCCCAGTGAGGACTCAGTGGACGGAAGCCCTGCCCTATAGGTACTCAGCCTACCTGAGTCTCTCACAGAGACACCTCCAGCCTCACTTTGCAGCCGAGAGTTGGGGGCTCAGAGAGAGAGTGTGACTTGCCAGAACTCACACAGCACTGGCAAGACTGAAACTCGAACATGGACACCTCTGACCCCAAAGGCTCTTTCCATGTAGGATGGGTGCAGACACTTGGAAACCTCCTGGTCCTCTGAGCCCACCCAGCCCGGTGTCAAGTGAGGCCCCGGGAGTGGCCCCGTTAAAGCTGGAGGTGGGGCACCTTTCCAGCCCCCAACCCATCACCCCAAGGCCCCTCCTGCCCCTTTCATCTAACACTTGGGTCCAAAGACCAGTTAGCACAAGAAAGAGGGCCATCTCCGAGCAGCCCAAGACTCCTGCCCCAGGACTCAGGGTCTTACCCCTGGACAAGGTGGACAGACCTCTCATCCCATCTTCCTGGTTGTAGGCAGCACCTCCATCAGTGCACATCCTCTTTTTCTAGCCCTCAGTTTCCCCTTCTGCAAAATAGGCATGAGGGCACTGTACAAACTTGAAAGCTTCCAACAATGACCCTTAGTTTACTTGACCTTCTTGGGTGCAGGGGTTAAAGACCCCAGGACCTCAGAGCCAAGGGGAGGAGGTCAGAAAGGCTGAGCAGGAGCAAGGCTGGTGACAGGAGGGGAGGCCTAAGGCAGCAGGGGGGAGGAGGGCCATGGATACTATGGAGTCATGGAAGGTGACAGGCTTCAGGTGTCTGGAGAGTTCCAGCTCTGAACATAGACCTAAGGGAGCAGTCAGCCCAGGCCCCTTGTCCCCCACACAGCCTGGGCTCCCTACCCCAGACCCTAGTCATGGTGACGTTACACCCTCTCTGTCCACCTGCAGCCACGCCTTCCAGCTGTGGAGGGCTCTGGGCACTGAGCCACCCATAAGCCGCCTGGTGCTGGCCACCCTGCTAACCTGGTTGCAGGAGTGGCCTCTGCCTCCCGCGGCCAGTGATGGTGACTCCCACTCCAAGGACAAGGCCTACCTGCGCTCACTGGCTGTAAGTGCCCACTCTCCCCACCCCCATCTCCAGCTGCTAGGCAGGGTCTTTGTTCAGACAGGGGGTCTCTGGGCACCTGCTGCAGGCCAGGCCCCAGGAGGACTGGCGGGGAGGCCAATGGGGGCTCCTGCAAGCTGAAAGATGTGGGTCAGGCCTGTGGACACTGGAGGACCCTGGAATCTCTGAGCTGGAGGAGGCAAGTCAGAGGCATCCCTGGGGCCTAGGGCCACAGCTAGGGAGCCCCAAGTGCATGCATCTACACCCACAGGCTATGAACACACTTCACGAGCTGCAGTTTGCGCAGGAATTCAAGGCCGCGGTGCAGGAGGCCTACCCAGAACTCTTCCTGGCGCTGCTCAGCCAGGTCCTCTACATCTTGGAGCTGGACCTGCCCACGGAGCCCCACTCGGGGGCCCAGGAGGCTGCCGTGCCCAGCCCCCAGAGGTGAGACATGGTGGTCATGGGCAGTGGGCTACTGGCTGTGAGGGTCCACTGGTCCACATGCCTGCCAGGGGCCAGGCAGTGGTCAGCAGGGAAGGGAGAGCACCCAGGGCCTAGGCGTCCCTGACTGCTGGCCTGAAGGACTTCAGGACTGCAATGCCTACTCGTCATGGGAACTCTCAGCTAAGTGTGGTCCTCACCAGGTGGGCCCACACAGTGTGCAGGCAGGGCTGAGCTATAGCGTCGTAGAAACAGCAGGGTGACCCCCCCCTATTCCCTTGGACATCTGACAGAACGCCCTCCACCCAACCCCCGCCAGTGTGGGAACTGCAGAACATGCTGCCTGCCTGCTTGCCTCTCCCCATAGCCTCACCACCAGGTCGTATTTTGAGAAATCCAATAAGCAAGTCTTTAAAAACCGCAGGGCATTCTTTTCATTTGTTTATATTAGGATGTGCTTCACGCCAGTTTGTCAGTCTTAACACTGCTCCCCAAGGCATGTCAGGGAGAGAAAATGTCATTCACTCACCTCGCTTCAGAATCCAAATGTGCAGAGGGTCGTTTTTTATTCGGATCAACCATGCAAAATGCATGAATCTTCCCTAATCAGCTAATAAAAAGTTCTCCTCCGGAACGTGGGCGGGTGAGGAGAGCGAAGCGCAGAACCTTTAATCTGTCCCTCTGCCCTCCTCCACCGCACCCAAGGTGCCTCTGCCCACCCTCACCCGCCGCACACAGGGCACCCCTGCCCTCCACCGCCCCACCCCATTGTACCCAGGGGATTCCTGCCCCCCAATCCGTCCCTCCCCACCGCACTCAGGGTGTCCCTGCCCCACCCCACCATGCCCCCTACACCACAGCCCAGATCCCACCACACCTGGGCTTACCCCCTACTGTGTCCCTCACTTGTCTCCAAGTAAACAGCCCATGTCCCCATGGTGGTCACAAGACCCCTGCCCACCTGATCCCGCCACCTCCCACCTTTCACCCTCCCCACCCTCTGCTCCTGCCTCAACTTCCTCACTGGTCCTTGAGCCCACCTACCTCAGGGCCTGGGGATACCGTCCCCAAGAGTCTCACCCCCTGCAGATGTCAGCCCCCAGGATGGCCCTCACAGTCACCCCCATCCACCCAGCTCTAGGACCTCCACAGCCACACTTCTGACCTATGCTGTCTCCTAACCAAAAGGTCAAAAATTCAAACCCACTGGCCGCTCCAAGGGAAGGAGCTGTCTGTCTGCTTCCATAAAGATTTAGCCTCAGAAACCCTGTGTGCTCTAGGCTCACTATGAGTTGGAATGGACTTGGGTTTTCCCGTAGAAGGGGTGCTCTGGGCCAGCAAGACATCTATCTCATTCTACACCTTTATTGTTGTTGTTAAGTGGTATCAAGTCAGTTCCAAGTCACAATGAAGAGTTTCTGAGGTGGATTTAAACTGCAGACCTTGTGGCTAGCAGTCCAGCGCAGATTCTACAGCACCACACAGGTCACTCAGAACCTACCCACATACCCAACCAATTACAATGGGGTCAGCCGTGACTCATGGGGTCCCGCTGTGTGTCAGAGGAGAACTGAGCTCCACGGGGTTCTCAGTGGATGATTTTTCAAGATACCCAGGCCTTTTTTTCCATGGCCCTTCTGGATGTCCTTGAAAGTCAGCTAAATGGGCTGTTTGCACCAGCCTGGGACTCCTTGGCATTCTTGGTCCCCATTTCAAAGTCACTATCCCCAGGCCCTCTCCATTCTGTGCTTTAGGAGACCTTGGTACCCCATTATCCCCCACAGCTCTCTCCAACCCAGTGTTCTCTATCCAGCTCTGCAAATCCAACACCTCTACTTCCTCTAAGATCTCTAAGGTCTCTCAAAGATCCTTTCACTCAATGCCAACAAAACCAAAGTGCCCACCCAAGTGCCCAGAGAGCCAGGGAGGTCTGTGATTTCATGGGTGCTTATTGCCCACTAGGGTGGACCCAGGGCTGTTAGGTGCTGCTGTCCTGGGCAGGGGAGTGGCCCAGTGACCCACCCTTGGCCCTGGGCAGGTCTGACATCCCTGCTTGTCCATAGCACATCGCTAGAGGCACTGAAGAGTCTCCTGTCCACTACAGGGCACTGGAATGACTTTGCCCACCTGGAGCTGCAGGGGGCCTGGCAGCTGTTTACCACAGTCCCCACCTACCCACAGGGCGTGGGCCTCTTGGCCAGGTAAAGGACCACCTCTGTCCTGGCCACATCTGCATCCCCTGGCCTCTCCTTGGGGTGTATGGATGAGAGAGATGTGCCAACTAATTGTGGGCCCCTGGGACCAGCCGTAGAATCTGGCGCTTAGATTCACCCATGTGCACATGAACACACCTGGTCCAAGCACTCCCTAGCCCTGCACACCTCCCCACCTAAGCCCGTCTCTGTCTTTCCCTGCCCAGGCCATGCCTACTGGGAGTGGAGACAGAAATTCAAGCTCATGGTCCCCGGGTTTCATCCATCTGGCAAGGATGAGACCCAGGCCCCACCGCATACACACACATGGTTTCACCGTATACACACACATGGGCTCACTGCATGCACACACATGGGCTCACCATATGCACACACATGGACTCACTGCATGCACACACATGGGCTCACCGTATGCACACACATGGACTCACTGCCAGGCACCCTGTTTCTTCCCCGCCCCCACCAGGGCCATGGTGCAGAACCGTTGCTGGCAGCTGAAGGCTGTACTGGGCCACCTGCTGCCCAGCCTGCAGAGCATCAAGGATCATGAGAGGAAGGTAGCCATCCTCATCCTCACTGAGGTAAGAGCCAGCTCCTGGGCCCCCAGCCTTTCTCTGCTGAAGAAGAGCCATCAGACCCACTATCATTTCACCCCCAACTTGGGGAGCCCCCAGACGGAACCCGCACACCCTCTTCCTGCTCCCAGCTCCAGTGGAGTTCCTGGTGGGCCCCCTACCTCTCTCAGCTGACCTAACCTCCCTGTCCTACAGATCCAAGGGGCCTGAGCATAGTACCAGCCACACCTGGGCTCGAACTTCAGCCTTACCTTCAAAACAACCACCCCCAGTACCTCTCCCCACCTCTGCCCTGAAAACTTAGGGTCCCAGCCCCAGGACATTGAAGCTGACAGGCCACCAGCTAGATTCAAACCACTGGGTGGATATAGCTTTGCAGACCCTGACCTCTATGTGGAGGTGGGAGTAGAGAGGGGGTCATTCCTAATGCCGGCATCTGCTGGAGAAAGCCACCCCCACCCACCAGCTGGAATGTGGGACCCTCTGTGGGGGAGCTGTTCCCAGGAATCCTTGAGCCAAGGTTTTGCTGTGTGACCTCAGGTGGGGCCCCTCCCCTCTCTGGGCCTGTTTCCCTAGCTGTTCACTGAAGAGTACAGTTTTAAAGTGGATTTCAAATATGCATGGCCAGGATCTTCAGAGACTGGTGGTCAATTGCCCCTAGAGCCCCGCCCCCCCGGGTCCCAGGATGGGGTGCCCAGCCTGACCCGACCGTCTGGGTTCCCCAGTTCCTCTACAGTCCTGGGGTGCTCAGCCTGACCTGACTCTCTGGGTTCCCCAGTTCCTCTACAGTCCTGTTCTGCCTGAAGTGCTTCCCAAGCAGGCTGCCCTGATGATCCTGGCCCAGGGCCTGCAGGACCCCAGCCCTGAAGTCCGCGTGTGGAGCCTGCAAGGTCTGGGGAACATTCTCTTCCACCCAGAGAAGGTGAGGGGGAAGGCTGTCCTTGGGAGGTGGGCTTTGTGGCCTGCAGAGTGGGACTGGGTCCCTTTGTACCTCACGGGAATATGGGCTGGCTGTCACAGCAGGGCCCCAGAAGACAGGCTGGCCACCAGAAGCCGCAGCCAGAGTGTAGGTGTGGAGAAAAAGTCAAGCCCATGGTGACAGAGACCAGAGTCAGTACAAATGAACTCCCCACAACTGTTCCCGTATGCCTGTCCCCAGTCCCCAGCTCGGTGGCTTCCCAGCTGGTTGTAGTGTTACACCGATGTGGACTAGTGAATAGAGCAGTTCACCAGGACTTGAGAAAAAGGAGCCTTAGGTTGCCGGTTCAAACCCACTGCTCTCTCTGAAGGAGAAAGCTGAGGCTGTCTGCTCCCCTAAAGGCTTACATCCTTGGACAACCTAGGGAGCAGCTCAAGATTGTCTTGTGGGGTTGCTGTGAGTCCGAATGGACCCAACAGAAGTGAGTTTTTCAAACAAGAAGCTTTAGTGGCACAGTGGGTTAAGTGTTGAGCTGTTAACTGAAAGGTCAAAGCAACGGTTCAAACCTAGCTGCCTATTAGGAGAAAGATGAGGCAGTCGGCGTCTGTAAAGATTTACAGGCTCTGGGCAGCTCTACTTGGTTCAAGAGGGGTTGCTGGTTCAAAAGCCATTCAACAGCACTGAGTTTGATTTGGGGGTTTAAACAAGAAAGAGCTGAGCCCCTGGGTGCTGAGGTTTAAGTTCACCCAGAGATACCTCGGAAGGAAGGCCTGGTAGTCGACTTCAAAAGCAAACCTCAGTCCCCACAGACTCTCAGGAGCCCAGTTCTGCTCGGACACATGGTGGGTCAGCATGAGTCAGAATTCACCTGATGGTACCAGCTTTGGTTGCCAGGATACAAATCACAGCCCCCCACAGTGGGAGAAGCTCTGGGTCCCCCTCATCCTGGGGGGCATGGGGGGAGTGACACCTGGAAATCTCAGCCCCCCCACACAGTGGGTGGAGCTCTGGGTCCCCCTCATCCTGGGGGGATGGGGGGAGTGACACCTGGAACTCTCAGCGCCCCCCCACAGTGGGTGGAGCTCTGGGTCCCCCTCATCCTGTGGGGATGGGGGGAGTGACACCTGGAAATCTCAGCCCCCCCACACAGTGGGTGGAGCTCTGGGTCCCCCTCATCCTGGGGGGATGGGGGGAGTGACACCTGGAACTCTCAGCGCCCCCCCACAGTGGGTGGAGCTCTGGGTCCCCCTCATCCTGTGGGGATGGGGGGAGTGACACCTGGAAATCTCAGCCCCCCCACACAGTGGGTGGAGCTCTGGGTCCCCCTCATCCTGGGGGGATGGGGGGAGTGACACCTGGCAATCTCAGCCCCCCCCACAATGGGTGAACTCTGGGTTCCCCTCATCCTGGGGGGGATGGGGGGAGTGACACCTGGAAATCTCAGCCCCCCCCCATTCCTGGGGGAGGGGACAGGGATGAAGGATGACATCCAAGGTAGGATGGGGTTCATGGAAGGGGTAGCTGGCAGAGGGCCTGCATCTATCCTGGTCTCTTGGGGAGAACTAGGGGTGGGGGTGGCCAGTCCTGACACCCTTACCCCTTCTTACACCCCCCCAGGGGAGCCTGCTCCGTGGACAGCTGTCCCCTTTCCTGGCTGGCTTCTTCCAGGACAGTGAGCCGGTGGTGGTGTGCGTCATGGGCACGGTGTCGGATGTGCTGCACCGCCTGGGGGGGCTCGGTGTGGGCGCCCAGAGCCTCAGTGTGGCCGTCAATGCCTGCTCCTTCTTTGACGATGTGAGCACACCCTGACGGCCGGGGGAGGGGGGTGCCCCATTTTTCCTCCTTCCTGACTCCCTCCTGGAAGGTAGGCAGGACCCCCGGCTGCCCTTGGGAAGGGGTCAGAGATGGCTGGTTACCTGGGTACTGCAGGTGTCCACCAGATGGACCTGCGAATCCCCATCTGCACCCATTGACCAGTGGGCCTCAGGTGTCTGCTGCGATGGTCCACTGTTCAAAATGGCTTCTGTCTTCACTGAGAAATGAAAAGGGTCTTTGTCCCTGAAGCCAGCCTGAGACCTGCCCTGGAGCCCTGCCTGAGGGGGGAGACACAGCCCGTCCCCACTCACCCTACCTGAGGGGGGAGACACGGCCCACCCTGAAAACCCAAAACCTAGGTGGAAGGGTCCCGCTGAGGAGGCTGAGTCCCACCTACAGTGAGATGGGGGTCCCACAGTGGCTAAGGTTGGGACCTGCAGGGGGATCTGGCTGTGCTCTGAGCTCCGTGCCTTGTAGGAGCGGGATGGGGTCCGGGCATCTGCCATGGCGCTGTTTGGGGACCTGGTGGCAGCGGAAGAAGGCAGGGAGCTGGGCAGCCTGCGAGCCCAGGTGTACCAGAGCTTGGTGCCCCTACTCCTGCACTTCAAGGACCACTGTCCAGCTGTTGTCATGGTCAGTGTCACCACACGGAAGGCAGACCCAGGGCCTTTGGTCAGACAGGACAGGGGCTGCCTGGGGGTTGGGGGCTGGGAAGGTAGATAGCAAGAGCGAGCGAGTGGTGGTCAGCAGCAAGTGGGTGAGCAGTGGGCGTATACGGCCCCATTGGCTTCCAGACACACTGCATGGTATAATACACACATGTACACATGCATGTGCCTCACAAACCAGGGGCTGTGTCCAGACGCATGCACACACGTACACACACAAGCATGCATGAGCCAAGGGCTGCATCCATACACATGCAGACACACACACACATATGAAACAGGGGCTGGGTCCACACACATGCACACACACACACATGCACACACACGACCCAAGAACTGGGTCCTTGGTCACATGTGGTCCAACCTGCTGAACTAACCCGGTGCCCCGAGCTGAGAACAGAGAGCAACAGAACACTCCTTGCTTCCCAGGTTCCAGCAGGGCTCCAAACCAAACTGGATGTGCCTTCAGCCCACGGGGGGGGGGGGGGGGGAGGTTGGGCAAGGGGGCGTGGCGCTGCAGCCAGAGAGGTCTGGAAGGTTCCTGGGGAGGGAGAGGGACGAGCCATGCAGTCTGAAGCGGCAAGGAAGGAGGGCGCCCAGGTGCCGAAATGCCACCCAGGCTGGCAGGGGGTGTCCAGGCTCCATCTCGCAGGACGCTGGGAGGGGGTGGCAGGCCCCTGCAGTACAGCCAGGCACGTGACCCCTCCGGCGACTTTCTCTGTAGCAGGCCAAGTTCACCTTCTACCGCTGCGCTGTGCTCCTTCGCTGGCGCCTACGACACACGCTCTTCTGCACGCTGGCCTGGGAGCGAGGCCTCAGTGCCCGCAACTTCCTCTGGAGCTGCTTGGTGAGGCTCAGCAGAGGCAGCACGGGGGTCCCCATTGTTCCGTCCCCTAACTCATATGCACAGCAGCTGGGGCGGGAGCCTGGCCCTGTGCGTGACGGGCGCCCCCTTCTGGCCAGATGACCCAGAGTCAGGAAGAGTTCAGCGTTCACCTGGCACAGGCCCTCAGCTACCTGCACAGCCTTCACCGCCACATCCGGACCTGGGCAGCACTCTTCATAGGTAGGCATACTCCAAGACAGCTTGCAGACCTCCAGGGTGTCCCTGCCACCTGAACTGTTCTGGCCCTGGCCCTACGGCTGAGGAAGAGAAGGGGTGGATCTGAGCCCCCAGACTCTGTGCTTGGGTGTCTTACAGGTTACACCATCTGCTACCACCCCCAGGCTGTGTCCCAGACAGTGACCATCGTGGACACTAACCTGCTCTTCTGCAGTATGTACCCCTCCCCCTCCCATCCCAGCTCCAGGAACTCTGAGCATCTGTCTCACAGAGGGATTGGGGCTCTTTCAGTCCCCCCCGCAATATCAGAATCCAAACAAGGACTCCAGCCTCCTAAGCAGAGTCCAGCCCCCCACCCAAAGCCTCCGTTGTGGCAGGGGGAAAATGAGCTGACCGCCCCCCCATACCCCCTGCAGCCCCGAGGCTCCATATCGCACCGAATTTAGCAGACAAGGTGAGGGTGTGCACAGACCCCGGAGGGGGAACACCCAGGCCTGCAAGCCGGAGGCAATGGGTCTGGGAGCCACCCACCCACACGGCCTGCTTAGGGCAGGGGTCCCAGGGCCCCTTTGTAGGGTAAGGCTGTGGCGAATAGCAGCTCAGGTCTCCTCTGCCTTGCCCCTCTTTCCCAAGCGTTTGAAGACCTCAAAAAAGACCCGGATCCAGGCATCCAGGAGTTCGCCACCAGGCAGCTCTCCTTTCTCCAGAAGATAGGGGCCAGACGTGAGCCCTGACCCAGCATTCTCCTCACCCCACCCCTCCTGCACCCGCCACTGTAGCCCTGCCCCATCCCACAAAGCTTGGTTGTACAGCGTTTTTCCATAAGAAAGATCTAGATTCAACAAGGAGGCGTCCCGCCTATTGGCTCCCTGCCCACCACCACCCAGTACTCTCTGAATCCCTGGAGACATTGGGCAGGACTGGGGACAGGTCCAAGACCCCGGTGACAGTAAAGTCCATGTGGGGCCTTCAGCTCCTGGGATCCCATCCACTCAGTGTCCCGGCCCTGGTGTGCCCAGAACACGTACCTTGGAGGCCCCACAATCCTGTCTGTAGCGGTTGGCCAGGCCCCCACATCTCTTTCTCCCCATCTTTGTCCTGCTAGCCTCCCCACAGACCAGGGATGGAAAAGGGGCGCAGACAGCCTGGTCCTAAGTCACACTTCCCAACTGGTCTGAGGGTCTCAGCTCTGAGCCTCAGCGGTTCCATCTGTAAAACCTCCTTCCTGAGACCTCTTGGAGGGTGAGCCCAGAGAAAGACCCTACCTGACAGGATTCCCTGGCTCCCCAAAACCCCATCTGTAGGCTGTGCCCTCCAATAGGTCCTACCCCTTCAGCCTCAGTTTTCCCACATGTAGTTCTTCCTGGGACCCCTTGTCACACCAGCCTGCCACCCAGCAAGTCTGCCCCACCTCGCCTAGGCCTGTCCTTCCACCCAGAGCCCCACCTCAGTCTCTCCCCAGCTGGCCCTGCTAGAAGGAGCCTTCAGCTCTGCATCATGCCCCCAAAGTAGACAAATGATGTGTTCATCCCCAGCCCCGCCTCCTAGACTGTGAGCCCCTCGGGACAGGGCACAGAGGGCCCCAAACTCAATGACAGATCGAATACAAGGGTTTGTTTCACCACATGTGTGTCAGTTTACTGAGGGCTATGGTCAAAGCTGGGGGTCCCACCCCAGGAACCCATGTCCCAGGACACTGCCTGTCAGTTCTGTTTGGTCCTGTCCCTCAAGGCAGTCTCCCCCTCTGTCCTGTGCCCCATCTGACCCTCTACCTCACCCACTGGCTGGCTTCTCTGGGACCAATGAGCCATCAAAGATCCGGTGTCAGCCAGGGGGCCAGATGGAGTCCCCAGGCAGGGGTCCAGTCTCCCAGAGTGGGTTCTGGTAGGATCCAGCTCATTTTCCCTCAGGCATCCCCTCAGTGAAAGCCTGGAGGCTCTGGGTGGGACTCTGGGTATCACCCTCAGACGCTGGAGAGTCTGGGAAATGGGGGTGGGGGTGCGCAGCCAGGGACACAACAGGGTCTCGGTCTAGCATTAGGGGAACTGGCCCTGAGGCAGCTGGTCCCTGTCAGCCCACCCAAACACCTCAGGGCCCACCTCGGGGGCAGGGGAAGAGAGCATGAGGTGGTCCTGCTTGGGGCAGGGCTAAGACATGGTGGACAGACACTGAAGTCCAGGACCCAGGGGCTATGTGCCCTTCAGTAGGTGCCAGGGGGCCCCAGCAACCAGAGACGAGGACCTGTCATGGCCTCGGGGAGACCTCCAAAGTGGGATGAAGGGGGTTCTAGGACAGAGCCCACCCCTCCCCACACCTGCTCCCGTCTCTGGTTCTCCAGGGCTGAGTGCAAGCACCAGGGTGAGGGCAGGGCAGGGGGCCCCACCTGCCCCAAAGCTCCCCCAAAACACAGGAGGGACCCCAAAAACTGTCACATGGACAGGTTCCCCCGGACACACCTCCCTGCAGTCTGGCCAAGGAGTCACACAGATCAGATCCTACGGGAGTCGCAGGACCAGGCACAGCCACCAGGGGGCACCCAGGGCCACCCAGGTACCCCAGTCCTCCCAGCACACCACTCCTGCGCACACAGCCACAGCATCCTGCTTTATTGCCCTTGAGTGACCAGAACATCGCTGCCCCGAGAGCCCAGTAATTTAAGGTGCAGAGAATAGGTCAAGGCCGACAGCCGAAGGGAGGTGCTGGCCAAGTGGTTACAAAGTGCACCCCACCCCAGCCCAAGGAGAGAGCTGCCTGCCGGGAAGGGGTGCACAGCGCCTGCAAGGAGGGTCTCTGAGTGAGAGATTCAGGGACACGACTGGGACGTGGGGGACAGAAACAGGCACACAGGGCCAGGAGAGACAGAGAGAGTCGGGGCACGGAGAGACAGCACAGAGGCCACGGGCCAGAAAGAAGAGGAGAGACAGTCAGGTTGAGGACACGGGGGACAGGCTGACACGAGGAGTCAGACTCAGGAAGCCCAGGGTGCAGAGCAGGGGTGTGGGGCCGCTGAATGAAGCCCTCCTGCTGGGCACTGCTGGGCACTGGTGTCCCGGCGTCCCAAGCTACATGACGCAGCATTTGATCTTGTGCGTGTGTGGGGCTCGGAACCGCAGTCTCTGCTTGGGCCGGTACTTTTCCAGGTAGGTGAGCTGTTTGCTGTTGATGGCACCACGCCGCCTCCTGATGAGAGGACAGGGGTCAGCAGGCCAGCCCCAGGGAGCCGGTGGTCCGCAGAGCAAGGTGTCCAGGGGGCTCCACCCTCTCGTCCATCCTGACAGCCAGCTGGACCCTTCTTACCTCTTCCACCCTGTCACATCCTCCAGGCTGACTTCCAGGACCCCACCCCATGGTCTAGTTCCCCCGTCCCCCAACACACACCCCCACCCCAGACCATGAGCCCCTAGGATCAGCAAGGATGGAGTGGGGAGAAAGGGGAGAAGAAAAACTGAGCACAGGGAAGCCAACGACCCCTTGCCCTGGGGTCCTCCAGGGCAGTGGCTGCTGCCCCCTCCCCACATCCCCTCCCAGCCACACTTCAGGTCCCCCTCCCACCACCCTGAGATCTGCCCCACTCATGCTCCATCCCTCACCCTCCTCGCCCTAGCACCCTCGTTCATGCCCCTCTGCCCTGAGGTACAGGCCGCCCACCTCCCAGGCCCATGTCCCAGGCCCATGGCTCTGCTCTTGTCCTGTGGCTGAAGCCAGCCCTGAGGCCAGCTGTCCCCTCAGACCAGCCTGGGCCACAGGCACCTGGTGAGGTGACAGGAGACCATTTCCTAGATGGGGGACCAACAAGGCTGACACCAGGTGACCAGGTGTATGGTAGACCTATATGTCCCCACCTTCTGTGACCTCAGGTCAAACCATGTCACCCGCTTTGGCCAATGAAGTTCCTCTGAGGGCTGGTGTGTGTTTGGGGGTCCCCACCACCCCCTCCCTCTGGTCCAGAGATGCTGGGGACCCCCGAGTCTGCTTGAAGTCACTGGAGTCAGACCTGCCTCTTATTGTGGCATATGCGGCCAGTGCTGACTGGCACAGTGACCACTGAAGGACACACATGGGCCAAAGATGTACAGGTGGACAAGGCGGTGTGAGGTGGGATGAGAAGAGGTTGAAGATAAAGAAAAGCCAATGTTGTATGGGGGAGGGGGGGCGGAGTGTACATGTGACCATGTATGTGTTGGGGGTGTAGTGTGTGTGTGCGGAGTAGACATGTGATGTGTGTGTGATGGTGTATATGTGCGCTGAGTGTACATGTGATCATTTGTGTGATGGGGCGGTGGTGTGTGTGTGCAGAGTGTACGTGTGACCGTGTGTGTCACGGGGGCTGTGATGTGCTTGTGAGCGTGTGTGTGTGATGTGAGGTGAGAGCCGTTGTGTATGACCATGTGTGTGAACGCACACCCATGTTGACAAGCCCGGCAGACACACACTTTCTCTAGGGGCAAAGGAAGCCTGTGTCACCGATAAACAAGCCCATCTAGGGAGAAGTGAGCAGGGCTCTTAGAGGTCTGAGGAGCAGTGAGTGTGTGTGTGTGTGTGTGTGTGTGTGTGTGTGTGTGTCTCACATGTGCACGCAGTGGACTGGGCTGGAGCGCCAGGTCTGGGTGCCGCATCATCCCTTCTGAGTCCTCTCAGAACAGGCCTGAGGACCCTCAGAGTTCAGATGCTAGCGAGACGGGGTGGGGACAGCCCGGAACCAGGACCGCAGTGGAGGGGTGTCACAGGCAGCTGTGTGGACCCCAGCTTGTCCAGTACCCATGGGGGTGGGAAGACCTGGAGGACGATATGCTGCCTGGACAGCTCCTCTGAAAAGCAAGCAGCTGACCAAGGACTCGCCACGGCGTAAAGAAGCGTCCACACAGGCTGCAGACCCAGGGTGGTCAGGGCAGTTCAGGACCTGTGCTCTTCAGACGGGTCAAGGCTGCCCATTACTGCTCTAAGGAGCAGGCCCCAGTGGGTGTGAGCAGAGGTGTTGTGGAGTGCAGTGTGTCCCCCAAATCTATGTGCTGAGTATGCTACGCACTGGGCTGCTAACCAGGGGTTCAAATACACCCACCGCTCCGCCTCAGAACCCCTACACAGGGCTGTTAGGACAGGGATGTACTCGTGGGCAATGAGTCTGGCTTGTGGGGCTCAGATCCCCCAGGGGAGCCTGGTGGTGCCATGGGGAAGTGAAAAGGCGGTGGTCCAACCCACCGGTTGCTCAGTGGAAGCAAGACGAGGCTGTCTGCTCTCATAATGGTGGCAAGCTCAGAAACCTAGGAGTCAGTTTTATTCTGCTCTCCAGGGTCAGGAGTCCAGATCGAGTGGACAGCTGTGAGTTTGAGCTTGATGCCTTGGGTGGGACCCTGTGTGTCAGCGAGGTCACACATGACAGATGTGTGGGGACAGACACACAGATGTGTGAGGACAGACACAGACGGGAATGCGTGTGGGGACAGACGCATAGACAGATGGACACATGTGGTGACAGACAGATGGGGACATGTGTGGGGACAGACAGACAGATGGGGGACGCATTTGGGGACAGACACAGACAGATGGGGGATGCGTGTGGGGACAAACACACAGATGTGTGGGGACAGACACACAGGCAGATGTGAGACATTTGGGGACAGACACACAGATGGGAACGTGTGTGGGGACAGACACACAGATGTGAGACACGTGTGGGGACAGACACACAGATGGGAACATGTATAGGGGACACACACAGATGGGGATGTGTGTGGGGACAGACACAGACAGATGGCGATGCGTGTGGGGACAGACACACAGACAGATAGGGATGCATGTGGGGACAGACACAGACAGATGGGAATGCGTGTGGGCACAGACAGATGGGGGACACGTGTGTGGACAGACACATGACTGATATGTCTAGAAGCCCAGGGACCTGGTGGACTGCCCACCCCCCTGAGCGCCCCTTTAAGATGAACCTTGGTGAGAAATGTGTGCATTTCTACAGCTCTGGGGTGCTTCTGTTATGGCGGCAGAGCCCCCACTCGTCCACCCCACGAATTTGCCTTATGGTCAGGTCAGGCATGCCCAACCCTCTTCCTTATCACACTGAATGGGATGAAACAGTGACAGGTCCTCCCCAGAGCCACCCCGTGTGTGGATGCGGTCGGTAAGCCACACGAAGGCTCTGGAGTCCTTCTGGGAACAGTCCCCGCTCGGTGCCAGGGCAGTCTGGTGGAACATGCTGGCACCTGGGCTGAGGCTCCATGTGTCGGGGAATGGACGTCTCAGCAGACAGCCCAGGGTCACGGGGCAGGTGGGGTGTGTGGACCTGCTCAGGGACCTGCTCCTCCCACAGCCCCTGGGACACTTACTGTCGGATGAACTGAATGGCGTCCTCATACTTCATCCCGCTCTCGATCAGAGCCAGCGCTACGAGGACTGGGGCCCTGGGGGTGTCAGGGCCACGTTAGAGGGTCCAGTCCTCCATCTCCCGCCCCCCGTGCCGCCTCAGCAGACCCAGTAGCCTCTCTGTGTTTGGTTCCCTG